CCCCGGAGATGCCGATTCGTGCGAGAGTTTAAAAATACAAGACCGGCATTATTCGCCGGTCCGCCCACGCGTCCGCCGACGAAACTGCGCGCTCTCGCAACCGTGAGAAGAATTCGCTCGCGATCGAGAAACCTTCTCTCCTCCCTCGATCTCCCTCCTCCCCTGTGTCTACCTTCTTCCTCCTTCACCCCCTTTTACCTCCCCCTTCTTCCTCTTTTTTTTTTCTTTTCTTTCTCCGCTTTCTCATCTTTCGCGTGTACCTTCTTCCACTTTTGCTTCTGCTTCTGCTTCTTCTTCTTCTTCTTCTTCTTCCTCCTCTTCTGGTACCGAAGAAGGTTCGTTCGTTCTCTGCCTTTTTACTTACTTCGGGACCAGCCGACGCGCGCTCCTCCGCAACCTGCAACCGTAAACGCGTAGAAGGGGTCCAGGGGCTGAGAAACCCCTGGGAATCGTCGAAATAACCGGCCGATCGTATCACGGTCCATGTATCCGGTTCTACTCGTGGAAATAACAAGTTACGTCAAAGATGGATTGCGGTTACGCTGATAATTATTCGGGGATACTGGTATCTCACCGTGGCCATCGGGAACCGAACGTACGAGAAGCTTCTTTCTCGCGCCTTCTCCCCCTTTCCGCCACGTAAGTCGCGCCGTTTAAATCTACCACCGCGTGCTTTCCAGAATCGAAACTTTTTTCCATGCTTCCGTGTATGAAAATCAACGAGTGGATTTACATGTTGCATTTATCAACCGTTTATAGACTAACGATCGAATCGTTTGCAACAATAAAAATTTAGTTGCCGCGTTTCAATCGTATTTATCGATAAAGGAAAGAAGATACCATACTCACAAGCGCAAAACTTTATTCGCTACGAATATTAATCGACTACAAATTTAAAACACTTTCGAACATAGTCCATTAGTTTGTTTATTCAAATTACTGGAAAGTTATATTTCGATGAAGAGTAGCTTTTAGTTAAAGATACGATATCTTGGAATGTTTGCTAAATTTTGTTGCGAATTCTACAAGTAGAATAATACAATGCGACAGTTACGAAACGTAGAATATATATATATATATTTATGCTTAATGAATCACGCTGTGGACGTATTCCAACGAAACCTCGCCAGAATTCGAAATACTTGAAACGTTCGATCGGTCGTCGATCGAAAGGAATAGGCGAGCACGAAACGAGTAACGAGCGGTGTGGTAGACGCACGTCGAAAGGTGCAGGAAACGAGCTTTGCGCGCGTTTATTTATGTACTTGGACACGCTACGCAAGAGTAAGCATCGCGATCGCAATGTCGGCCTCTATGCTCGTTGCTTTGAACATAAAGCTTAGCTCACACACGCGGATATTCGACTGCGTAGTTGGAAATACTCGCGTATTTTTATATCGAAAGAGGAAAGTCGCGCGAGTGAGGATATCGCGGTTATTTCTGTGCGTGGTCCGTTGCACGACATTTTTATTTCGTATCGGCTTCCAGCGACCGCCTCATAACGACGGAATAATGCCGACCGTATTTTTAGCCGCGCCACGGTGAAAGTTTTTCCACGATTGGGTATCGCGACGTGGTCACGCTCGCTTCTAATATATTCGAATCGACGAGATCGCCGATGGTGGAGAACCGCGTTGATCCAGATAGTTAACCCTAACGTTTTCCTCCGTATGACTCAGAATTTTAATTACGAGTCAAATGTTGGAATAGTTTCGTCAGCCATCGTGCTTACGTTTCAATAGTTCTCGCGTATCGCGCTCTTCGCGCGAGTAAAATATTTCAAAATTTGGGAAGAGAATATCCGAAGGTACGGAAACGCGAGCAAGAAGCAGAGATACCGCGGCGAAGTTAAAGAGACGTTGGTCGAGTAATTAAGTTACTCGATACTGATAATTACGTCAAGTATTTTGAAGTCTTTCGAGGTACTGGTTGAATAACGAATAAAAATATCACGACGTTATTGGGTCGTTGGTTGGTAATTCATGACCTGGTTTCGGATCTTAATATTCTTGAAATCGACGGTTACAAGAGTATTACATCGCGCCGTCTCGTCGTTCGCGCTTCTCCTAACCTTAATACATTCGATTATTACTTAAACGTAAAGAAGCTACGGTAGTTCTTATTCGACGAGTATCCAGAAAAGTAAGAGGATCGTTTCCATCGATCTGAATCGGGGCCTTCGATTAACATACGTACATAGTCGTTTTCGTATCTCCGTGGACGTCGAAGAAGGAAAGTCAGCGCACGTGAATCGAGCTTAACGCTTACCTGTCCGCTCGTTTCAATGGTGTACGCAGGTGCATTTTACCTCGCTGCTGGCGATACTCGGCGGAGGAGAGAGGAAAAAAAAAATGCTGGAATTCGCTATGACGCACTCCCACGATGTAAACTAGTTTCACGGCGGGCGATATCTGTAAATAGGGAACGAGATCACTTCGAATTCGACCGGTCTCTCGTTAGCGATTCGATTATATTGCCGAGGCTTTTTGCGATTAAGGTGATCGCTCGTGGCAGCTGCTGCATACGCTCGTGATTCATCCGAAACGATTTCACTCGTCGAAGAATTTATCTCGCGTCCAATAGCTTCTTTCGATCTTTCCAGATCTAATTTCTTTTATTTCACATCCGTTTATCGAAACGAGATTGTAGTTAGCGTCCGATTAAATGAACACTCGCGAACCGAACGTACTTACGCGGACGTGAATTTCTATTCTACCGAACAAAAAATAAAAAAAATCATCGACGCGGTATAAACGAAAAATTATTAATCGGATATTTGCAACTGCGTGAAACACGCGTCATTAGGCTTCCGTTGTCATTCTTTTTCTTCTTTTCTTTTTTCTTCTGGATGGACACGACGTATGGCAAAGTCGTTCTCATCGACCCTGAAGGTTGGTACTCGGTCGTGCACAGCCTTCCACGACCGGACGCCCTTCAATTGCTCGAAAATAAGCTGATTGGTGAAACCCTGCCAGTGGCAACAACGCAAGTGTACACTGCCTGTGAACATTGTTTCACACTCAGACAGCTCTTCAGAGAAGTCAGACCTTCGACCTTACGCCTTTTAATGGGATTGATATAAATGTTGCCTCTTGTCGACCGCCAATTTTCTGGTCTTATAAATATACAGTAACTCTATGCCTGTAAATTGAAAGCCATTTGAAAGTTTTAAAGAATACGACAAAGATATGTGTTTAGCTAGAAAATCAGATACAAAATTAATTCTGCCAACACGAGAATAATCGACAACGCGCGTAATTTAAAAATCGCTCTCCTGTAAAAAATAGCAAAGAGATTTAACTTGTCGTATTATTAACCCTGTAGTCCTCGATTCCGATTATGGCGACAGATTTCAACTTTCACCTGCAGTCACGAAAAGAGAAAAAAAGAAAGAAAAACTGCAGAAATAAAGAAGAAAGAAAAGCAGTCGCTTATTATTATACGCATTCCTACGGACGAATTCGGCGGTTGTTGGGGCAGGTGCAAAGCCAGGAATGCGAACCATGCAACGGGAAGAGCAATGATTTTTTATAGCGCCTTCGAAACCGCTTTAACGGTTCCTCTCTGGTCTGAAGCGAAGCTACGCAAAAATTCGTCGGCTTCGCGCGTAAAGGAATCATCGTGGTTTTTCTGATTTCATCGGTACCACGCTCTTGATCGCTTTCGTTGCGTAACCGCACGATGTGTGCGTGTATGTAATTGATTACGTCTCGTAACTTGTTCTGAGAACAATGCCGCGAGATGCGTGAGTATAATTAAGCCATCGACTCCCGGTACTCCTCCACGCGATTCATCCGATCTGGAAGTGTCGACAAAGCTGCTACCGCGATTATTGCACCGTTGTCGTCACAGGCTACGGTTACTTTCCCAACCAGTCGTAGTCTACGCGGAATTTGAAAAAATTCAAGAATTGAGAAACCAACGCGTGGGTAATTGGATTCTTTTAGAATTTCAAAGAAATCGATCGGTGTCTTCTTTTCTACTAAAATTCTTCCTTAGAACGAAAACCTTCGTATTTTTCATCGTTGTGAAGGGTTTCATTCGCCAGCGATATGCTCGAACGATATGTTCTATCGTGATCTTTCAGAACCTAGAGCGATCAACTTGAGCATTTTTTATCAATTTCTCGATTTTATTACACAAGTGCACGGTCGATATTCGATATTCTCGAAAAACAGATTTCTCGTTACGGAAAATCATTCGCCGTAACACGATCGCGCGAATATGTAATATCAGATTCGATCTTTCAATATGCGATCGATCGACAACATACATAATCTCGAAACTGTTTTCCCGTGAATAATAGGAAATGCAACTTGTCGCGTTTTTTTCTCCATAGTCGTCACATGCTATACCAATATAATATTGTGTACTGACACTATCTTCTACGAAGAACAGACACTTAAACAGAAATCATAAAAGAATTTATTGGTTGTTTTGAATCGACGAGATTATACCAGTACCAACTACCTGGAAAAGTATTGTTTGTTTGCATCGAGATTTGCATAATAAGGTAGCGCACACGCCGCTTCGTGCTGTGTACAAACGCGAGCCGGATACAGCGTGAGAGTGTCGAAGGAATGCTCGCGAAGAACCGGGACACATCGCGCGAGTAACATTACGAATTGAACTTTAATCGACGTTCCTGCCGGGCAGAAATTTATTCCGACGCGAAAGGAATACCATCGAAAGTCGAGAACCGAAGAAAATCGATTCGTGCGCGTATTATGGAACACTATAACTAACAATAAGCTGAAATATCGTGACCATTATCGTAACTCTTTCCTCTCGCTAATACCACTACGTATAATACGCTAACTTTTATTAATATTCCGATGCCACGGTGGCACCGTATACGAGAAATTATATTTATCGGTATTTATCCTATATTTATTAATACATAAAAATATAAAATATAAATAATAAAAATAGAAATATCTAGAAACGGTTCATCAGGATCAAAGAATCTACCGAAAGAAATGAATTTATTTCGTTTCTATTTCGCCCGATGTTATTAGCCAGCGAACGATCAAATTTAACGGATATGCCAAGCGCATACGAAATATCGTTGCAATTGTCAATCGGTTACCGTACGATCGATATGTTATTGTATATCATTCGATTCTGGTCCCGTGATTTATACGTCGCGACCACAGCGTTCGTCGTCGTTGGGACGAGAGTGAATATTCATGACAGCAGTTATGGTAACACAATTAGTTCCATTAAACCAGCCGACCGAGGGCATTACTGGAAACAATTAAGTCATCTAAGTATGCTAACCTACGGTTCACAACGACCGCCGGCCGCTCTCCCGTGACATCGTTCAATTATTGTAATTCAATATCGTATGACGAAAGATGGCAGGCCTTGTAATACGTGTTGCATAACGCTTATGATGATTACGCGAAACAACCATAAATTTGCATATTCCATCGTTGGAGTTTGACGTTTGATGTGGTAATCCGATAAAAACGGGTTTACAATTAAATGAAATTCCTTGTTGGATTCTTATTTTAGATCAGTTATAAATTTGTGTGTTCCATCGATTGAATTAAAAAGTTGTGAAATAATCTTCGAAAAATGTGACTTATATTTTTGCCTCGCGATCTTCGATTCGACATAATCGCCGATTTAATAGAATCTCTTCGCTCGATGTTCGTTTCAGATCAACAATGATCCGAACATGTTGCCAAACGTAAAGCTGGTGATGCGATGGAGCGACACGAGGGGAGAAACCGTGGAAGCCACCAAGGCAATGATCGATATGATCTGCGACGGGGTTGCAGCCTTCTTTGGACCAGAAGGCTCGTGCTACGTTGAAGCCATAGTCGCTCAGTCCCGCAACATACCCATGATTAGTTATGTAAGTACTTCTAACGCTATTTAAGACAACGCTTACTCTGCAAACTGTCTCAACGAAACTGGATTTTCGTTCGACGGTTCGTTAATTCCACGCTTAGTCTAGACAGCAGACGTTTCGATAGCTCAGCTTTTTTTTTTATATATCCTACATAGATGTATTCGAACAAATCGATACTTATCTTGAAAAATATTTAAGTATTACGTCAGATCGTAACATCCAACGTGTCCAATTTTGTTATATTAATTTTCTAACGTTCTAATTTCAATGTTTTAATCTTTTTATACGTCATTTCATACATTGTTGGAAAACTGCGAATTTCCTGTACGTATGATCCCAACTTTTCAACTCTTACCGAAAGAAACAAGTAAAAGAAAATTCAACCATTTTTTTAAACGATATACAGTATGATTCGCAAAAATATTAGAATATTCATTAAGATAAGAAGTTTAGGGAATCGATGTAACAAAATCTGACACACCCATACACACACATGATTTTTGTAGAAAAAAAGAAGGAAATCTAGCAGTGTTCGACTAAGTTTCAACCACATTTATGATCCTCGAGAATTGCATCCCTCTTATAAACGCATCTATACTTCGTTCTTAGTTCCTTTCTCATTCCAAAAATTTCATTCATTATTTTCTCATCTACCTGTCAAATATTCCGCCGATACTAAAATAACTCAACGATCCGAAGAATAGCAGCAGTCGCCCTAAAATTACCTAAGAATCCTTTTGATGTCACGTTAGTCGATCTTTTCCTGATCGCGGGTGTAGGTCTAAAAGGTTTCTTCGTTCAAAGGCGTGAGAACGCGGTAAAAGAGTAGAGTGCGGGGTTGTAAGGTGACGAGGAGGAAGGTAGCGTCGAAGTTGTCGAAGAGGTAGTGGTGGTTAACGAAGACGCGGGGGAGGCGGATGTCCGCCGACAAATTGAACACCCGCGGCGTGACAATATAATTACGGGTTGCTTCCGCGCGCAGCTGTGTGCGTTTCGAAGCTTTCGTCCGTGCGACGTTAGGAACACGCGATGCCAGCCTGCGCTTCGGGGCTTCGATCGACCGCCTGAAAAATTAGCATCCTGCCTTCCTCTTGGACCCTCCGCCATGCTTCTTCATCCTGCTTTTCGTTTTACAGTATATAAGATCGCTCTCGCGTCGAAACTTACCGAAAGCTTTTTCTAACCGAGTACTGTCGGCGATAAAGACGTAAAGAAAGTGGTAATTTTACCATATGTAATCCGGCCTGATGAACTATCTTACTCTGATTTTTCGTTATCGTCCTTGCTTCAGATAGCTCGGGAGTGAAACTGAGAGAATTGCAAAGACTGGAAGTCACTTTTCTCCGCGTTTTGATATAAACTCCGAGATAACTCGCAATATGAAATAAAAAACAGCAGATCGATTCCCATGTACCAAAAAAAAAAAAACAAAAAGAAAAATACCCTTAGTATTCGATCATTTGTCTTGATTTAAAATTCGAAGGAGGAAAGTACGGAAATTAGATGGAATTAGATTTAGAGAGCAGCTGCATCTGGCTTCGAGTTACATCCTGCCTATTAAGGTCTAATGGGAATTCTATCATCGTTTCGCTTCATAGTTTCGAACGGGTCTTTTGTAACTCCATGGTACTTAAGATCGAGCCACGTTAGTCCTAGGTTGAGCCTTGAACTATGGCTATCGAAGCTATCTTAGGTCCGAGTTATCTGGAGCCCGAGATATCTTAAACCATAGATTAACCTAGGTCCGAGGCTCGTAACGCAGTCGCCTGAACAGGATCTAGAAACGCATCGATCACCAGGCAAACCGAATCGAACCGGTTATACCCGATCGGGGTGGACACAAAGCGCGTGCATTCGATTCGGTGCCCCCGATCGAAGCCTTCGTGTCTTCCTACTTCGAATCACCTCCATCATAGTCTCGTTCGCGGTTTTTGACCGAGCACGAGCTCACGATCGACTTAAATCATCTTGACTCTGAGCTATTCTAGGCTCCAACAGTCGTAAGATTAGACCTCTGATCCCAGTTAAAATACTTGGTGGCGGATGACGAATGACCGATAGGCTTGCGTTATAAAACTCTAAGTAGTACACTTTTTTTCTGGAATTTAACACTGCGTCGATCAATGTGCACCGGCGCATCACGAGCGTCAACTATCAATGCCAAATATATGAGAACCGTAACGAGAAACGTAAGAGAGAAACATAACGAGTCTGTATATGTGTTGACTTTCGTCGATAGTGTTACTTATTCTTCTGGTTTCTTATGCTAATTATGGATACGGAATTTCCATGCACGTGGATCTAAGGAGGATCTTGTAATCGTTTGGAGCCTATTTGCCTTGATGTTACGAGTCCAGCTGTTTAACGATGTTGTTGACATCGTTGAGAACCAGCCTGGCCATCGTATCAGCTGCTCGTGCGATGCCACTTGAATTCTTCTTTTGATCTTCTCTTTTTTCGATTCGCCTTTTACACAGACTTGTCGAACCACGATCAAAGTTCTACGACGAGGTAGGGGAATTTATTACGCAACTCGATCGTAGACTAACTAACTAGACGTTTCAAATATCTTCTACCAGATATCGTATCTTTCTGTCTTCTTTAAGACCCAAAAAAAGAAATATAATAAATATTACAGATTTATTTCGTAGAGCGTACCACGGTGACAGATACGTTGGTCGCCACATAAATAATCGATTTGAAAAGATAGAAGAGAAGTTAGATTACAGCGGCGTCGCGGTAGCGTCATTATGTCACCACGTTGTACTCTTTTAACATCCGGACCCATCGAAAAATTCGCCATCGACGATCATTCATGGAAGAAACGATCAGGAAACGAGTGCTTGAAAATGTGCGGTGCGTCCGCCAGTAGCAATTTATAAAAACACATGTCACGGATCCGCGTCTATTTTTAACCGGCTGATCGGTTAACCCGTCTGCTTGTACGCCTCGTTAATCGTCTGGAATCGTCCTCAGACCAGTCGTTTCCATGGAATTCGCCAGTCGAAAAGTAGCACATTGGAACGAATTCGACGGGTCATTTCTGATGTCCCACCTTTTGGGTAATATTCCGATCCCCTTCTCGATTAAAACACCGTTCACCATTGGCAGAAACAAAAAGAATCCTCTCCGTCGATGCTCCGTAGTTTTTCGACTCCAAAACGAAATTTTTGTACCGTGCCTTGTCTTCCAGTTACAATATGTTTACGAACTGAGAAAGAAATTACCGAATCTTCAAGTAGCTGGTGAATTTTCGTGAAAGTGCCCCCGATGTCTCCTCCGCGAATGGAGCTGAATAATTCACGGAAAAGTCAATCCGACGAAGTACTGTTATTAACACGCAATCCAAGGCAGGAATGTTTAATGGAAAATTTTCAGAATCTCAAGATACGTCGTGATCGTGTCACGATGTACGGTTCTCTTCTCGCAAATTTAAATTTAACTCACGCGACTCGATTACGCGACGCTTCGAGAGGAATTAAAGAGCTACAGGACAGCCATGGCGGAGACAAAGAAAAATGTAATTGTTACGAAAGGAATGGACGGTTTTGGACGATAGGAATAGACAAAGCAACGATCGCGCTACATCATCGACGAACTGAATCGTAGGAATAGTTTTCCTACTTGAAGACTTGGTATAGCATCTTGCAGGAGTTCGATGGTATTCATCGTTACATCGAGACATCGAGACAGGTTAATCCATATTTTTCCTGAACGAGACTTTTATAGCGTTAATTTATTAACCATAAGCTATTAACGATACAAAAGCGAAGGAAATAGGATGTTACATCGAATATTTTGCGCTCACATCTATTTTAAAAGTCAGCTAAATTACACGGTTCGTTGTTAACGATTAATTCGCACGGATGAAACGATAGAATCTTTTCCGAGATATTATCATTTCGCATTGAGAGATCTTACCAACTATTATAATAGTAATGAGGTGTATATGTGTTATAATCGTCGTGATAGTGCTACACTCCGTTGGGCAGAGATAGGTTCTGCTGCGAGTGTACCGCGCTTCTCTTCTCGTTTTAAATGCCGTTGGAAAGAAAAATCGGACTACGGTCGCCGGGATTTGAACCCGGGTGCCAAAACGTTCGTAGCCTAAGGCGCTAACCATTGCGCTGCCGTGGTCCGACATTAGTTGGTGTCGTCCGGTGGTATTTTGCTGTCGAGTGCCGCCATAGTAATATCGACGCTGTTTTTATTGTGAATTCAGCCACTTTTAGTCACTGGTAACGTGACGCTGTAGCAATAACAAAGCTCCGAGAGTATCCCTATGAACTAGCAGTTCCGAGTATTGCTTTACACGCGTTTTCAACCGTTTAAACTGTTTAAAGTGAGAAAAGCTGAAGAGCGTTTTCTCGATAGAAGCTGTAAGGACGCGTTCGAGGACTCTCTCGCATCATTGTACCGATTCGAATATGAGAAAGTGGTACGCGAACGTAAAAAGACCTCCAGACTAATTTATGTTAATCGGAGGCCGTAAGAAAATGAAACGGCCACGTGAGAACGGTCGCGCCCGTTTTGCCGAACGAGGAAAGGGATCGAAGGAAGTTGGCTTGCTGATGGCGAGTACGGTATTCTTTGTGCGGTAGTGGCTGGATAAATGGCCACAGGACGTGACCTTATCTGATCGATTATCAAGGGAGGTATATTTCTAGAAAATCTCTCTTCTCCGCTGAATATGAATTCGTTTATTTTACATATTTACGTAATAGCCCTCTTACACAATAATTTACCAACTAATAATACCAATGAATCGACAAATGACAATTTATCGGTTATAAATTTCTCCTCCATGATTTCACATTTAAGAAGATAATCGACTAATTTATAAATTGTATTAGTTGAATCGCGCAAAAGAATCCAGCAATCAAAATTTATTAATACCGATGACACGTAAAATTTCCTTTATAATGCGAATTGAATCGTTGGAAAGGAACCGAAGGATCACGAATTATCGTACTCCTTTCGTTCATCGATTCGAGCGTAGATCG